TGAGGCTCCTGACTTCTGGCCTCCATACACACACGCGCGCGTGTGCACACACACACACACGTGTGCACACACACACACACATACACACGCCTGCACACACACATACACCCACACACACACACCTGCACACACACACACATACACACAGACACACGCCTGCACACACACACACACCTGCACACACACACACACACACACCTGCACACACACACACACACACACACACACACACACACACCATACACCCGCCTGCACACACAGACACAGACACACACACATACACACCAAAATCACCACACAAGGAACCAAGGCAACCAACACACCGATTCTCAGGGTGAGTGCACACAGCTGGCCAGAATGTGAACCCACAGCCAACACACCAAATGGGGTGGCGTTTGCCCTTGGAAAGAATGAGGCCTCAAGGCAGCCATGCGCCTGACTACAGTTTATTTGAGGGGTTTCCACGGTGCTCTCAGGAAGGTGTTTTGGGGTCCGGGTCGTCACACCTCCGAAGCGTTTTCTTTCTAACACAAGTTCCCAGGGGAGGAAGAGCCGCTGCAGCCACAGGTCACTCCTTTCGGGCCGGAAGGTCTGGGGGTGTCTCTCGCGTGGACCTCCTGCTTTGGAAGCTGAGGCAGGACCAAGAGCAGCGGGGGTCTGGCTTCTTCCACACGGGAGGGGGCTCCCTGGGAGGATGAGGTCTACCTGGGGGGGGGGTGCAGAGTAGGGGCCAGCGTTAGTCTGTGGGGCCCCTGTGGGACACGCCGAGTTCCACGCAGTAAGTGCCTTGGCGGGAAGGGGCATCCACCGATGACCTTGACAGTTAGAGGGACAGCAGCCACGTGAACCACGTCTCCAGTTCAAGTCTAGTGTGGGGCTGGGGAGACGGACGGCTCAGCATGCTTGCTGCACAGGCGTCAGGACCTGAGTTCGAACCCCCAGAACCCGGGGGGAGAGGGGAAGGAGGAGGGAGAAGCAGGCTGCCTGTGGTGCACACTTGTAGCCCAGCACAATGGCTCTCTGGCCAGCCTAGCCTGCTTGGCCAGTCACAGGCCTGCAAGAGACCCTATCTCAAAATACACTCTCAGACGCAGCCCTGCTTGAGCGCGGGGCTGGAGCTGGGCTGTGGGAGCGGCCAGCTGTGGGGTCCCTTCCTGGGAGGCCACACGGGCGGGCTGGCTGGAGAGCCAGTGACTGGTGACAGCTGACTGAGCGCGGCTATGGGTGCTGCGCTTGTGCTCAGGCCGGCGGGGCTCAGGGGAGGGGCGACCGGCGAGATGCCGGGGAGGCTGACGCCCGCCCGAGACGGTCCTCTTTCCACGCGCGTACACAGTGTACCGAGATCAAATGGACGAGTAAGAGGGGATCCGTGAGAAACTCTGCTCCTGGCCCGGAAGACACCCGAAACCGCCCCGCCCAGCCAGGGCAGGCCCTCGGGTCTCACCATGAGGACGTCGAGGAAGCTCCGGCCGCGGCAGTCACAAGTACATGGTGTCGATTTGGTTTCTGTATTTCTGGGTTATGATACGTCTCCGGAGTTTTGATGTCGGCCCTGTGGAGAAAGGAGACATTAGTCAGGTTGTGAAGGGAAAAATTCCACACTTACCGTGGGCAACCAGGGACAGGGTCCCAGGGCTGCTCCTGCTGTCACTGAGAGGGGACAGGGGATGTCCACACGGACTGGCGGAAGAGGGGGCGCTGCCTGTGATAGAGCTCTTTTTCAAGATTTATTTTATTTTTAATTATGTGTCTATATGTGGTGTGTGTGTGTGTGTGTGTGTGTGTGTGTGTGAGTGCATCGTGCAAAGAGGCCAGAAGAGGGCATCTGATCCCTTGCAGCTGGAATTACAGATGGCTGTGAGCTGCCCAACTTGGTTGGGATCTGAAGTCCAGTCCTTGGCGGGGAGAGGGGAGGGGGCTCTAACCACTGGGCACCCTCTCCAGCCCATGGTGGGGAGTTCTCATGTTAGCTCCAGAGCATGAATGCGTCCGTCCTAGGGAAGAGGCAGTACATGGAGGCCAGCTGGGAGCTGGATGCAGTTGGTAAAGGCAGCGGTGTCCCATGTCCTAGCTGGTCCCGCAGACCTAACCCCCAGAGAAGAGTATGGCCCAGAGGCGCCCTCTGAGGTCCAGGCCAGGCTACTCACCTAGCTCTCCACCATGGATGGAAAAATCCTTCTCCAAGATGACCCACTTCCGAATTCTCTGAGCGTCAGAGATCGCTTCCTGGTTCACGATGTCTATGCCACACTGGATGGCGGTGTAGACCAGCGGGTCCCGCAGCTTCACTATGTCCGAGACGGTGTTCGCCATGCTGCCCAGCCCCCGGCAGAAGTTGATGGCCTCCAGGCTCAGCTTGTCCAGGGGCTCCCCGCTCCTCCGGTCTGTCTCACACTGCCCCAGGACAACCCGTCACCGCGCATGCTCCCCAGGCATCCGGACCCCAGCCCAGACCAGAGGCGGCGCCTGGGCTCCAGCCACCTGCAGCCAGCGCCCCGACTCTGGGGCTGGGCGGCCCCGGCTTACCTTCAGCGTCAGCAGCATGCTCAGGAACTTGGCCTTGTCGCCCACCAGCACGGCGTTGCTGATGATGGGGATCTTCTCCTTCACCAGGGTCTCGATGGGGATGGGGGGCACATTTTCACCACCAGCAGTGATCAGGATTTCTGGAACGAGAGCCCAGCTTGGTACAGGGCCCCACCTACCTGAGACCAGGCTAGAGGTTTCTACGGATTCTTTTCAGGCACCCCAAGTCCGCACCCACGCCTGCTTCCCTCCCAACATCTATGTTCTCAGGACCCCACAGGGACAGAATCTGTCCTGTTAGCTTTTGTCAACTTGCCAAGCCAGGGTCTCCTGGGAAGATAGATCTAACCAGAAAACTTCTCCAGCAGATTGGCCTGTGGGGCATTTTCTCAATTAGTGATCAATGGGGAAGGCCCAGTCCACTGTGGGTGGTGCCATCCCTGGGCTGCTGGTCCTGGGTTCTATTAGAAAGCAGGCTGAGCAAAGCGTGGAGAACAAGCCAGTAAACAGCACCCTCCATGGCCTCTGCCTCAGCTCCTGCCTCCAGGTTCCTGCCCTGACTCTCTGGATGATGGAGTGAGTGCAGCCTGAGCTGTAAGCTGAATAAACCCTTCCCTCCCCAAGCTGCTTAATAGTGGTCACTATTGTGATGGAGCACACCGGAGCGTTCTGTGGAGTTGTTTTCACCGTGCAGCCCAGGCTAGCCCCAGACTGCAGGTCTCCTGCCCCAGCCTCCACCCAGTGCTGTGGTGATGGGGGGGGGACACAACATCTTTGAAGCTTCCCTCACATTCCGAGGCCTCTCCCGGCTGGCTCTTCCAGCCTCTCCACTGCTCGGCAGAGCCAACAGGGCAGCTCCAGTCTCACTCCAGGGGCACAGGTCACAGGTCTGGAGCAACCTGCCCCCAGTGTGACTGGGAGGGACCCCGATGATCTGGGAACGCTGCTTTTCCCCGTGTCCCTGGTACCTGCACCCTAATATCCTCTGTACTGCCGGTACCCTGGCAGCCTGGGCACTCCAATAGTCCCTGCTAGTTCCCAGCACACTTGGCACTCTTTGCCCCAAGTGTGCCTGGTACCTTTGATTCGGCCAGTGATGTAAAGGAAGTCCTGGCTGTCCACGCGGCCCATGTCCCCAGAGTGTAGCCAGCCCTCATCATCAAGAATCTCCAGTGTGGCGTCCTCCCTGTCCAGGTAGCCCATGAAGACGTGCCGGCCCCATATGCAGACCTCGCCCACGCCATCTTTGTTCTGCTGGTACAGCATATTCTTGCAGCCATTTAAGACCTTGCCACAGCTGCCGGGGATGTGACGAGAGGGGTGCGTCAGAGACAGGGTGGCGCCGACCACCCGGGTCCTCCCACACCACCAGCCCAGAGTCCTGAGGTTCCTTGGCTGTCTGTCTCAGTGGCAATCGTTCTGACCCAGTGCTCAGGTTCTCCACATCCTGTGTGTTTGGAAGTTGTTTCCACATCCTCCCCGAAGACCTCCGATGAACCACCTCCCCTACGAGAACACTGGGGACAGCAGCCGCGTGAGGGCCAGGACCCTAACCCTAGCCCTAAAGTGTTGGGTATTGAACCCTGGTTCCCGGCATGAATGCAGAGCGTTCTTATCCTCTATGCCATTTCAGCACCTGGACAATGGATGTATAAGTAGCACTTTTATATTCTAAAACCCTAACCCCTAACCTTACCCTAACCCTGACCCTAACCTTAACCCCTAGCCCTAACCCTAACCCTAACCTTAACCCTAACCCTAACCCTGAGGACCCTAACCCTAAGCCCAACTCTAAACTGAACCCTGAGGACCCTAACCCTGAGGACAATAACCCCTAACCCTAACCCTAACCCTAACCCTAACCCCTAACCTTAACCCTAGCCCTAACCCTAACCCTAACCCCTAACCCTAACCCTAACCCTAACCCGAACCCGAACCCGAACCCTAACCCTGAGGACCCTAACCCTAACCCCTAACCCTAACCCTGAGGACCCTAACCCTAACCCTAACCCTAACCCTAACCCTGAGGACCCTAACCCTAACCCTAACCCTGAGGACCCTAACCCTAACCCTGAGGACCCTAACTCTAACCCTAACCCTTAACCTTAGCCCTAACCCTAACCCTAACCCTAGCCCTAAATGTCACAAGCTGGAATCTCCTCAGAGAAGTAGTGTGTGGAGAGCTGCTTTCAACCTCATGAGACGAGGCACAGAAGGGAAACTGAGGCAGCACTTTGTGTCCATTGGCTTGTAGAAACACACTGTAAGCAGCCATATGGCTGCCATCCTAGCGCTGGGAGGTGGACACAGGAGGTTCATCCTCAGTCCAGCCATCAGTGTGACCACTGTCCTGCTAAAATGGCATGATGGGACATGGGTGAAGGCCGCACTCAGCTGAGGGGGACCCAAGGACACCATCAACTTCCAGCCATTCCTCCTCCTCCATTGCCTCTTCATCTCTTCTGCCGTCCTTGTCTTTAGCATTATTGTTATTTGGGCCCCTCGGCCTTCTGCACGCTGGCAAACCTCACGCCCCTC